CATACTGTTGAGTCATACCGTTCATTATTCATACTATCAATCATTGTCCAAGTTTCCGTTGATGGATTATATAACTCGACACTATTCAGTGAAAACCCTTTGGCATCACGTCCACCAGCAACTAATACTTTTCCATTTTTCAATACGGCTGTTTTATGATAAGATCGCATATAATTCATACTACCGGTCATTATCCAAATTCTTGTCGATGGATCATACAATTCAGCACTATTTTGAAAACGATTGCCAATTCCACCAGCAACTAGCACTTTTCCATTTGTCAATATAGCTGCTGTGTGATAAGATCGTGCGTAATTCATATTACCAGTGTTACTCCAATTTTCTTTTGATGCATCATATAACTCAGTACTGTTTAGATAAAGACTAGCATATCCACCTATAACTAATACTTGTCCATTAGCTAACACGGATGCTGTGTGGCGAAATCGTGGATGTTTCAAACGACCAGTACTCATCCAAGTTCCTGATAATGGATCATATAACTCGGCAATATAAACAGTAGCAACTCCACCAGCCACCAACCCAGGTCGAAAAGTACCGGCCGGTTCCGGCAGGAAAACACCGAAAATCAACGGAACATGGAAGCAGTATTCCGGCCGGAAATTTTTCGGATTTTTTTCCGGTGAATTCCAGCCAATTCCTGTTCTTTCCGGCAGGAACCGGCCGGAAATCCGCCGGAAAAAGTCCGAAAAATTTCCGGCCGGAATACTGCTTTCATGTTCCGTTGATTTCCGGTGTTTTCCTGCAGGAACCGGCGATTTTTCCGCGTCTTTCCTGCCGGTTCCTGCAGTATTCGGTGACCGGAACGATCGACCTGGGAATACCTTTCCATTTTCTAACAAGGATGCTGTATGTCCATGTCTTGCATAAATCATACTACCAGTGATTGTCCAAGCTCCTGTGGATGGATCATACAACTCAGAAATACTTGCATAATCATTACCAGTTCCACCAGTAACTAACACTTTCCCATTTGTTAATACAGATGCTGTGTGGTCATATCGACCATGATTCATATTACCAGTCATGGCCCAAGTTCCTGTCAATGGATCATACAACTCACAAGTATTTAGAGCAGTGACACTGTTTGCATCAGTACCAGTTCCACCGGTAACTAATACTTTTCCATTTGTTAATACGGATGCTGTGTGGTAAACTCTTTCGTAATTCATATTACCAACGTTAATCCATCCTAAAACAAGGATCTAAATAATTGAGTACAAAAGATAAACTGTATTTTAAAAAAGTGTTTAAAAATATTGTAAGATGAAAATTGCTGCTAATGTTAAGAACAGTATCTTTTTAACAGTCTAGAGATTAGGAGAATCTTTCAAATTATATTTAATAATGTCTTTTTTTTGCTCTGTTAAAGACATGTATCATGGAGCTCCATTGTCGTAACGTATCGTGTGAATTTCTATAGTAACTCATCCCACTCTAATGAAGAAAAATGATATCTATCGACAAACACGAATTTAAGTCTGGTTTGTTCGTGGTTATGGGAATTACGAAACTTATCTAACATATTATTCAAAATATGTTTTGCAGTCACCCAGAGATCTGAGAAGTCTTCTACAAAAATCGGTTCATGAGTAGTGAAAGTATTTTAAACAATGTCTTTCTCAGGCGATTAGAAGGCATAGAACTTTTCAGCCATTGAATGATAATATCTGACTTTGCAATAAATTATTTTAGCACTGTTTCATGCAGTTTGTTCCACAAAAACTCGAGTATTCCCTTCGTTGAGTGAATGTGCTTTTATTTTGTAGAATTTGATGAGTTATGTTTATGATGAAAAAGATCACCTTTAACGAATTTTCCTATTAAAATTATTGAATTCTGACCATTTCACTTTTCCAACTTTAGGGCGACGAAAATTAATTCTAATTATATATTCTTGTTCCTGAAAGTACAGTGCATTCTCCCATGCATCAAACACTACTTTTCGTTTCTCTAAAATTTTCTTGCACAACATTAGGATCTAAGAAAAAAACAGTATAATGCTCAAACTTAGTCCTTGTTAACTGAAAACGACTATATTCCACAGTGGATTGGCTTATTGCATTTTGTAGATCCCGCTTTGCACTATCCAACTCAATATTCAGAATTTTAACTATACAATAGATGTGGTCCAAATCTATGCTTGAATATTTTTCCGTTGTAGTAATGTATCATAAAAGATAGCTTCGAGAAAAGCAACTATCTGTCACCAAACAGTGCTTCTCTTAGCATATCGATTGACATATAACAACTTATGCTTTAATTCATTGCCGATGCACTCAGAATAAATATTATAAAATGAAAAGTAGTCTAATGAAACAAGCGGGTCCTTTTCTTGAGGAATGTTTTTATCAAAAAAAAATTGCATTGTAAATTATTTAAATATTCATTATGGTTTATTGAAATATAGTTTCAAGAGAACATCGAAACTTCTGACAGGATTCATAGATATACAAAAATTCTATCTATTGGGGCTTTTTTGATGCTGTAGAAAGACTTTGTCAGATTTCATTCATTAATAAGACAAATAGGGTACTGATGTAGATATGAGCGCTTCATGAAAAATACATCAGCATTCAGTTATATTTTAACTTAATTTCGCGAATTTACACTTGTTTTGTGGAACTCACATATATTTTTGAAAAAAATAGTGAGTATGAGTTTTAAATCGAGGTTTTCCGACTCCCCACCCCTCCCTTCTCCCCTCCTGGGTCATAGCAACCGTGTGTGGGTGGAGGTAATCGAGGTTATTAGACAGGTTTCCATAGCAACGGGAGAGGAAGGCTAAGCCATAGGTTATTGAACTAGTTTCCATATCAATGCCTCATTACAGACAGATTAATTAATTAATAATATTTTAAATGTTGAATATTTTATTTATTATTCAATATTTAAAATAATAATTTCTAATGTTATATATTTTAAATATAAAATATATTATATAAGATATTTTATATTTTATAGAATAATCAGTAATATTAAAATCAATATTTAATAAATATAATACTTAAAATATTTAGTACTTAAATTAAAAATGAAATTATATCTTCTCGTTAGTGTGGTTTGTGTCATATGCATATAATGATTAGGACAATAGAAGTTATGATTGAAGATGTATATGAAAGTAACAATAGTTTTGTTTTGAATGTTACAAAGTTGCACGAATGGAATAGTTTAATAGAAAATTAATTATAAAAGTGACGAATTTCAAGAGCATTAAATTTTCGAACGTGTCTATCAGTTATAAAAATGATTACAATTCTGACTAATTTATCGAATATTATTTCTAATAATTTATTTTCAAACGTTTGACAATACACCACAAATTTATAACAGCCAGACGTTATGAGTTCTACATTTTAGCTCGAAAAGGAGCTACAATGATAAGTTTTTCCTTATTATTATTATTATTGCCATTCTGCTATAAGACTCATTTAATCATAAAATTGACGAAATGAAATCAACTATCCGTTTAAATCTTGATAAAGTGCAGTAATTCGCTACTATGTATTCAAAAAGTTGAGTATGGTGTGTGTCTACCTGATCTGCAGAAATCTGTCAATAGTAATGGTAAACATACTGCTTTTGGTGAACAGCATGAATTAATAATGCATACAGAAGTATTTGATGTACAATTATAAGTAACATTGTTGCATGGTTCCAAAAGTGAACATAGTAAACCTGGTGCACAATAAATCATATTATTGACTGAACGGTAATCGAAACATAGTGTTGATGAAGAACGACAGGTAGCATTATTATTCAAGTTTATATTACATTGTTGTAAAGAACAATTTAATGTTGGTTCCCATCCAGAATGTCCCGAAGAAGACCATGAAAATTGAATATTATGATCATTTTCATTACAATAGTAATCGAGGACTGGTGTACTTTGGCCTAAACATTTTTAATATTATGAAAGAATAAAATGAGAAGAAATAAATCAGCAAACCTTGTATATATGAAAAGAAAACACCGAAAAAGAGTACTGTGACAAACGACATTCTTTCTCTGTAATAAATGAGTGAAATAAATATTAAAACTTCGTTTTTCTTTTGACTTCGTCGGTGTCGTATTCTGTTGAAAAAAAATAATGAATTGCAATAGCAGCGACTATGCCTTTCTCTATAGAATCGATTCATTCTGAAACAAGTCGAATCGTTTTCTCATCCATTATGTCATTTTCATCTTATGAATCATATTAACATATTTGCTTTCTACTACCAACAACATGTATGCGATTTCTTTCAGCATGCTATATTCTTTAACAGAAGCGTCTGTGTGCACTCAGGTAATGTATGAATGTGGATGTAGATGAAAATTAACACCAGCAGGGTGTGCGTGTGGCATGAGTTGCCTAATTTGAGTTCGAATATAAATTGAGAGCTAAATGATTATAACTTCGAAAATAAATAAAAAAAGGCTTTCATGTTAAAATAGCAAAAAAAGAAAAAGATAAAATCTTATATAAATTATAAATTATAAATTTCGAAGATACCCATGTTAAAGTAGGAAAAAAGGAAAAGATACACTCTAACTTAAAATGTGTCGCATTTTATGTGTTGTTTCCTCAACTGTAGGGAGGGTCACATGAAATAAAATGAGTTGGTATGTGGGTATGTGTGTTTGTGTCAGGGTCAAAGATAAAAAAAAACATGATCAAATATGAATACATCGGAATTTAAGTGAATCGAGTTTTTCATGTTAGGACTTATGCCAGTTGAGTTTTTTCATCGTAAGATTTCAGTAAATCAGAAGTTTTTATATTGGGCTTTCAACCGGTCAGATTTTTTCAGGCTGGAGGTAAAGGTTAAGGAAAGTAAATCAGGGTCGGAGAATCCGAATCTGAGATCCATTTATCAAAGTTTTGAGTTGAATTTCTAGGGCCAAGGAAAGGTTTTTTTGAGAAAATAATGATATTCCCTCGACTGTAGAAAGGGTCATATGAAATAAAATAAGTTTTTCTGTCTGTCTGTGTCAGAATGAAAGGTGAAACGTCAAAAAAACATTGACTAAGCGTTCGATGCTCACGTTTTCAATATTGGGCTTTCGACCAATCCGATTTTTCAGACTGAAAATTCAGCCAATCTGACACATGTGATAAGTTCTCCCTTAATCAGCTGTTTCATGACTGGGTTTCCATGGATGAGGCTTTTTTGTAGCTGAGTTTCTAACTGGTGATATGTTGTGTAGGACTACTTTAGTCAGTCAGACATTTTGGATCTAGAATTGGAGAAGATATAAGTTCGTTGTTTGTAGTTAAAGACGTGTGGTTTTTTTGACGGCAATGTCCGGCATTAACCCTTTGAGGACGGATTTTTTTTCTGTATATTTCATCATAAATCAATCAAGAGTGTGGGGTAGGGAACTGCAAAATCACTTTTTTTAGTCCCGATTCCGGTCAAATATGGGGGGTGGATGTGGGTGTGGATCAGGAGAAGAAGAACACCCACACCCAAAACATAGTAGTTGCTAAGGAATTTTTACTGATGTTGATTATTTTTAGCTGGTTCATATACGGTTTTGTGCAGAATTTTACGCTCTTTCAAATGACCGTATTTGAAGCTTTGTCAAATAATGTTTTGACAAACATAATCGCTCTGCACTGAGTAAAAATAGGGTATAATTGGCATGGGCCCCGAGGGCATCAAAGGGTTTCGAAAATATATTGAATTTGGCATCAAAAGATTCGCCGTAAAATTCTGCATCGGAAAATAAACTTCTTATGCGAATTTGTTCGTGGGTCGATTCCTGTTCTTATGCGCCCCCGTCCTTTCATAATCTACATTTATTTATTCTACATAAATTATTTATTAAAAATAGATAAAGCACCTGTGAATGAAGTTAATTTCTGAATAAAAGTTAAAACACATTGATGAAAAACTAAGCAAAAATAAAAAACAAACATCAGATCTAGTCATTTTTTATCTTTAAACAAAACAATCAACGTTCAATTTTTTTTTCTACAAAATAGTTTGATTGAATCGAATTTTTTTTATGCCCACATGAACATAGGAATCACACCTATAATGAAAATAAATTTACTTTATTTAAGAAATTTTTTATTCCAAATTAAATTAGACCTTCTTTTGTTGTCCATTTTGGGATTAGAACGTCATCAGCTACATACTCTAAGGGAAATTCGACAACAAAACCTTTAATTTGTTTACATTTTTTATGTGCCTTAATTAAAATTAAACATTTTTTATTTAAATAAAAACTAAATAAAGAAAATCAAACTTACTGCTAATGGATCAGTATCTCTCAATTTTGATTGCTGAGTATATTCAGTAACTTCGATAAAAGTTCTAACACGATTAGTAGGTAAAGTATTAAAAACTTCTTCATAAATTTGTGCATTAGCTTTTGCTCTTCGTCGAAAATATTCGTAAAATTCATCTGAACATGGATCATCAACACTCATTTCTTCTTCATTTTTAATACCCAATAATTGTCTGTAAAAAACTAATAAATATATTAATGACAATATTAGATTAAAACAAACCTAAATAATTTCTTTCTCCATGTTGACGAAAAAAGTCCAACTTTTTGTTTTTGACCATTTAATTGTGAATCAATCATTTCATCATCTTCAACAACTAAACAAAATTCTGAATCTCGAGAACCTTGAAGAGAACGATCATTTATATTTGCTGATCCACAAATACACATTCGATCATCAACAATCATTAGTTTTGAATGAACATCAATTATTTCTGTTATCTTGAATGAGATTTTTTTCGTTTTTTGTTATTATTAAATAAAATAATTTCAAATACTTACTAATGTACCCATTAATATATCCCAATTACGCATTCCATAAAATGTTATATGCTCTTCAGGATTAGATACACCTATTTTAATAAATAATATTAACCAAAAAAAAACAAAATCTGTATTATGAAAAAGGTCTAAAGTATTTTTCCAGAATTAATTTGACATTTTATAAGATTTTACTCATTTTTGCTTATGATTACTACATGACTGTCCTTTAATCAAATAGAATCGATAGTGTAGTCAGCTTTATATATTTCCACTCCTTATAATTTATTTCAAAATCATTTTTCTACAAAAAAATCATTTCATTGTTTTGTTGTTTTGAGCCTTATTAGTTTCATGTAAACTTGATTATTACATGTTACAATAAAAAAAAAAAATACTATCACCATATCATTACAAATTAATTTGGTTTAACTCTTTATTAACGGAATGTTTTCGAGACTTTTAAAAGTTGACATAATACTATCATTGATGCAGTAGATTGTAATCCTTAGTGATCTGTCATATTAAAACTTGAGTAAAATAGTGCACGGTGCTTATTTAAAAGAATTCATCATCAATTCACATTCTTTAATATAATCAATTTTTTTTTTATAGAAGTTTGTATATGAAACTTTTTCAACACTTTAAAAAACTCTAATGTTTTTCGGTTCAAGATAAAATAGAAGGAAGCTATTTAGCATTACTTTTTATCAAAAAACTTGGTTGAAACAATCTAAAAACAAGACTATTGAGTTCTATGGATAATAGGCATGTTGGATAAGACCGTTCGTTTTAGTTTGCAAATTACTTTTATTGATCTAACTTCTGAATCGTATTAAAATTTAATTTGTTAGCAATTGAAAGGTTGTGACTTTGTTGATGGAGATTTTTAAAAATGATATTTTGAAGGCATTTTTCTTTTAATTTAAACGTTCAATAGAATCAGTTGATAGAAAAATTCTTTCCTTCCGATCTGTATTAAATTTACATTTCGAACTTGTTTCACTTGACAGTTATAAGACTTTTTGAGCTTGACATTTTTTTGAACTATTAAGATAATAAAGTCACGTCAGTTTGAATCTTAAAATAAATATCATTATTCATTTCATTATAGTGAATTGCATTTACATAGGTGCTTTTTCAAATGATTATGGGTTATACGGCTTACATTAAAGTTCTCTATGATGTTCTCATGAAAAGTTATTCAAAAAAAATTTAAATATACTATATTTTGAAATGGATAATAGACAAGTATTGGCACGCAAACAATATCAAAACTAGAGTACGATTTTACTATTAATTTAACTTAGATAAAGATTTGTTTGCTATATTCAATTACAAAATAATATTCGATTTCGATTGATCTTTTACACGTATAATTTATTTTCTTTGATTTAAAACTTACCATCTCGTATTAATCTTTGATAAAGTGATGTTTCTCCTTTATTAATAGATCTCATTATACAATAAAGAACCGCTTGAACAGCATTTTCATTTGAAAATCCTGGTAATAATGGTAATACAACATATACTCGAAATTTTTCTTTCTTGTTAGCAGCATCAATTATCCGATGATAAAGTGCATCACCAATCAAATTTTTAATTGTTGTATCATTAGCAATTGAAACAAAAAATTGATTCTAAACAAGAAATCTCTTATTTTGAAATTCAGTGAATAGAATAGATAAAACTTACTTCAATATAAATAAAATGTTGAGCACTCTTAATCATATGAATATACGCATTTTGTATTGAAGTTTCTTTAGGGCCAATGCTACATGACCAATCTGCAGCAGAACGAACACATTGAGCATCAACACGAATTGGTTTTAGTTTTTCACCAAGAATATCAGAAAGCATTGATGAATCAAATAATTGATCATCATCATAACTCTTTGGAAGGATGTATGGAAAAAATTCATTAAAGCGATATTGATCTGCCTAGTTTTTAGCAAAAAAGAAAAAGAAAGAAAAGCCAAAATTTTCAATTATTTCAATAAAAAAAGAAACAAAGAAAAATTTACTTTATGAATATTCCATCGTTGAATAAAATGCCTGGCACAATCTCTTGCTGCTTCTCCACTAACAACCAAAGCTTCGTCGTGCCATGGCATTCGTGGAAATATTTTTCGATCAACAGTCTTAAAAAAAAAGATAATAAAATATTTAATATGATTTGTGAAATAATAGGAGGACCTTCTTCAAATTTTTCAAGATTTTTAAAATCTTCATCATAAGCATTTGCATAATCTTTTCCTATAAAATATCGAATTTTTTTATTAGAAATTGATATTTCATTAATAATTGTTTTAGGTTTTTCATCAATTGATTCTGGTAGAATTTCTTCATTTTCATTCGATGATTCTTCGTATTCTTTTTTGCGAATTGTCTATCAGTTACGATAAGAAATACAACAGAATTTATAAATAACTCCTTTAAATAATTTACTTTGATTATTCTCTTCCATCGTCCTTTATGTTTATGCCGTCCATGTTCAGTGTTTTCTTCGTCAGCTAAAATTTCTCGTTCAGCATCGGTTAACACACTTCGGAAATCGGTTACTTTTTAAGTAAATAGAACTATATCGAATAAAAAAAGCAATAAAAAAAGTCTTACCAGGTGTTGCTGCAAGATTGCTATTATTCTTGGTTCTTTCACCATTAACATCTATTTAAATAAATATGAATTAATAATTCTTTTGATATAATCAATAATACTTTGATTTTGATTTGATTTTAATAATGATTTTTTTTCTTGATCAAGTTTTGTTTGTTTACATAATTCTTTTGGAATTTGCGTTGAAGACGCCTTTCAAATATTTAAACATTATATTTAATGTATTTATATCAAAAATAAATAATAAATCGATTTCAAAAAAAATTCTGTTTACTTTTGAATTTCAGAACAAGTTCTTTTCATCTGATATGCGATAGAATATTTCATTCAAATATATTTTATGAAGAAGAAAAACAAATGTAATTAAAACAAAATTGTTCAAGATTTCTACCAAGAATATTTTATTGAATTTCTTTTCTTTAAATTATATTTCTAAAGAAATAAGGCAAATGAAAGAACACTACTTTGTTGTCAACATTATCTTATATCTTTTAAAAGTTAGCAAATACATAAGAACTTAAGTCTTATAAACTGTTTCTAAAAAACTTTTTTTGAACTTTCTGGATGAAATATGAGTAATATTGAAATTGTAGATGGTATATAGTTAATACATAATAAATGATGAAAAATCGAAAAAGAAAAATATTCTTACAATATTGCTAACACGTGTGCTTTCTGCCATTTTTTCTATGATACTAACTGCAGCTTCTTCCTTCTGTACTTCTTTTTCAAGTTGATCATATTTTTCATTTGGAAGTATTAATTCCGTTATATTTTCATCACACAAATCGACTAATCTATTAAAAGTAAACCATACGAGAACAAAAAATAAAACTTTCATATATTAGAAGGTTTTCTTCAATGATTGAAATAAGTGTAAAGTAAAATAACAAACCTATGCTCATCTGTATCCCATCGTCCCCAACAAAGATCAATTCCGCCAATAAAAGCAATACGTTGATCAATAACAACAATTTTTTCATGATGAGAAAAAAGCCATGATGATTCAGTTCCTAGCAAAAACATGTGATTTGGATGCCGAATCACTTTTATATTTCTTTTAGTTGGACTTTGAGCCATCAATTTTGATTCTGTATGATCACTATTTAAACCAACAAGTGGTGGATCGTTAAATAGTAACACATAAACACGAATTCCTTCTTCCTATATATACATATATTTATATAATAAATAAAAGAAAGAATCTTGAAAATGTACAGCTCTTTTATTAAGTAGATTAACAAGTCGCATTGAATCATCATCACAAGGACGAATAAGCATTAATTCAGGTGAAATAAACCAACCAGCAATGAATATGTCTTCTCGTGCTGCTAATATAGATTTAGCTACTGTTTCCATATATGATTGACCATTTATAAACCTATCTCAACAAAAAACAATAGTTTCTTATTATTTATGACGTTGTTGTTTCATAGAATTCTTATGAGATATTTTCTTTAAGTATATATTTTATCATTTGACCTTCGAGAAATTTAAGAATTAAGAAGGTTTTGTTTTTGCTCGTATATTAAGAAAAATTTTCACGATCTGTAGAAGATAGAAGCTTTCATTCAATATATTTTAAAATTTCTTTAAAATTGCTCTTCAATAAAAAATAATAGTTAAACTCGTTTCGTAAGAATATTGAATAGAAAATGCATTACAAACCAGTGAGCATATTGCTGTTGTCTTCTTGGTGCATATGACTGAAAAAGATTTCGTTCAGCAAACAAAGATCTACTTTTAACATCCGTCAAACGATCAAACCAAGTATTACGGTCATCTTCTTTTTCAAATTTAATAAACATAGAACGTTGTGAATTTTTAATTTTAATTCCATTATTAGTTGTAGTTTTCCGATAACCTTGTTCAAAAGAAAAGGCACAATCGATGAGCAATGGAAATCCAATTAAAGCGGAATCAGAATTCATATAAACAAGATATGAGTCTTTAAGAACAAACCATCGTAGTGCATGATGACATCGAAGTTTATCACATATAAATGGAACTCGAAGAAATATTGAACGACCACGGATGTCACTTATTGAATGTTTGGCAATAGCACCTTCTTTCACACTAATACCCAAACCTTGTACAAATGATAATGAACTTACATCAAGAATATCTCTCTATTTAATTAAATTAATCAAAATTTTATCTTATATAGATTTTAATGTATTTACTGTTGCCATATGTTCACGAAATTTTGGATGTTTTAATATTTTAGTCAAATAATTTTGTAATGTTTTCTATAAACGACAATAAATAAAGAAAAACAAGACAAGAAAAGAAACCAAAATTTTACACATCGCTCTTCAATTGTAAATTGATTTAAAAAAGAAAGTCGATCGTTACGAGTTGGAAAGCATGGTTGTTCATCTTGTTTCTTATTTAATGAAGAACTGTCATCATTATTTGCTCCTCTTTGTGATAAATCACTTCTTGAAATCAAATATTTAACAAAAAAAAAAAACAACTAAATCAAATATATTTAACGCAATATTACTTGTTCAAGCTGCTTATAGATCACCCTGTTGCGCGTTCAACATAATGAACAAGAGCTTCATGGAGATCATGAAAATGCTTATAACGTTTATGTATGATCCATTCAAATTCAGGGCCATCACGAACTCTTATTGTATATTTTTAAAAAAAATATTTTATTTTATAATATAAATTATTTTTTAATACATTGGTGAGAAAAATACTCACAGATACGGATGAAGAAAATCTGTAGCAGACTTATAGCCTCTTACTGCAGTTATGCTAATAACTTCAAGTGATAATCTATCAATAAATATTTTATTACATCTACGATTGAATCATTTAAATATGACATTATCAATTTTAAAATTTGATCTTATTTTATACTACGATTAGAGCTCGTCAATATAAGTTTTTATCTTGTTCTTGTACAACAAATATTGAATTTTTGATGATGATAAAAAATTGTCTCTAGACGAAATAAAATGTAAAAAATCACTGTTGTACTGTTGTCATCTGAAGTCTGAAATAATCTCTGAATTCACTTTTAAAACAGACTTACAAGGAAAAGTCTCAATTGATTAAGCATTTTTGAATATCATGTAACGATTTTGAATTCTTAATTTATTTCCTATATAAATACTGCAAATGATGTTGGTTTATAAATGAATGTTCTAATTCTTCCTTGAGAGCACCAAAAAATAACTAACTTTAAAGTTGCAATTTGAAAATTTGCCTAGAGATATACTTTAAAAAGAGTAGCTTTTCGTTAAATGTTTCACGTCTTCTGATTTGCTTTTATCATGAAAAAAGAACATTGAATCTACTATTAAATATGATCAATGCCAACAAGGTATCTTTACCAGACAACAAGATAAAAAACAGTCATAGTAAAACATTCTCGCTAAAACTTGTCTTTATGTAAGGTTTCGATTCGACGTTTGAAAATTTGTTTTTCTCAATAGAATTTCAGTATTTATCAAAGCTATCCTAAAGATCCGATAGGACGACAAGTTTCTTCGTTATTAAAAAGTAATTCGACAATTTATTTGGTTATAGAATATTTAAATGATCCCAATAGACTTCTTCCAATGGACGTTTTTCATCTAATATAAATCAAATTAATAAGAAAAAAAAATTAGATAGCTTGTATGTTTAATAAATACGCGAATAGAGTTGTAGAGATTCATCAATAAATTTCTCATCTGGATAAGGTAAATATTCTGTATGTTTTTGACGAGCATTACCTAAAAAATAGATGGAGAATAAGAAATATTAAATTAAAATCTTCAAGATTTCTTTTTTCAATAAGATAATTATATTAAAAATAAGATCAATCTATAAATGAATATTTGTCGAAATAGTATAAGTTTTTATAATAAAGCTATTCACATATTATTTACAAATAAATTAAGTTTTTTTCAACAACGAACTCAATAAAAACGATGCAAGTGAACATTATAGAAATAAATAAGGCTGTATATTTACTTGGAGTCACAACCAATCGCGCCATATCAATTGTTGGTTTTACAAGATTATCAATACCAACTGATGGATCCATTTCAGTTACTATTTCCATTCTATCCAAAAGAATGAATAAAACAATCTTAGTTGTGAGTAGGAAGCATGGGATCTAACTATTCTCATATAAATTATCTCGAAATTGGAAAATCTAAAAGTCTAAAAGAATTGTGCTTTTGAAGCGCTATTTGGAAACGAACAAGACATCCTAAGAATGATTGTAAAAACTATATCTGATTTCATTTTAATTGTTCTTTTTCATATTCAAACAAACATTTTCGAGTTAATCCTTCTCAAGATCACGGTGACATAAGATATGAAACATAGAGATGTATGTCTCTAAAAAAAATAGAAAATAATAGAAATAAACTTAAAAAACCTCACGACGCAGTACTATAAAGGTGCTTTGTATCTCTAAAAAAGTAAATCTTACTTAGCACTACATAAGTTGTGTGCTTACAACCACATAAACAAACTATCAATTATAGAAAAACAAGACATATTGATTGAAAGCAAAACTACTGTGTAACTGTTGTTGCTTTTTTTCGTTCTCTATTTTTTTCCTGTTCTATGTTATTTTTTGCTGTTCTTTGGCCTTGCCATATTTTGTCACGCTTACATTCGATCATTTGTTGTTGTTCAAACGATCGTACATATTGGCTTGAAAATGAAAAGCAGAACATAATTTTTTTTTTTCTTTTTTTTTGTCCTCTTTTATGAAGAGAAAATATTGAAATACGTTCTGTCGCTGATTAGTTCGACAGAAATTATATGGACAACAATTAATATTAATGCATTGTAAGGGTACAGAAAAAAATAGATTATTTGCCGAACATATGAAAAAATATTATTTTCTTCATCTCCAAATGAAATCCATATTTTAAGATGTTTTAATGATTAAGATCTTTTTTGATAACCAACTAGGAATATTGATTTAGGATTTTTTTCCTAAAAACACAGTAAATCATACACTTTGTAATTTAAATACCATCTTCTACCATTCTAAAAATCTTTAGTATTAAAATCAAATGCGGTAGCTTAAGTAGTAGTATGGATTAGACATTCTGGTAACCAGAATTATTGCTTTGTTCTATTGAAAATGTTGAAAAAGTGTCTACCAATGGTTTTTTGTTTTCATTCTGTTAACCAGAATGTACTGATCCATACTACGACTTTAGGTACCATATTTGGTTTTAATATTAAATCTTTTTACAGTGGTAGAAGATGGTATTTTAATTTCAATATGTATAATTTACCGTATTTTTACAACCACTAGAGATTGATGAAGGATTTCAGACAATATTGTTAATGTAAGTAAATATTTTTTGATTGTTAGTTTTTATTTTGACATTTATTCTGTCTATGTTTTTTTGTTAGAATATATCTGATGGAGAGTCTTGTCAACTGAAACTTTGTTTTAGTCTTGGATCCTCAGCAGTCATAGATCTTAAGGGTTGTTTCATTGTATTTTATAAATTTGCATTCCCTTTATAAAAGAATAGGATCAAGTTATTTTTTTGAAAGTTAACGAAAAAGAATGATAAAATCAGATTCTGTTAAATCGATATCAATATATATTATTTTTGTAGAAAGTAAGTAGACAGATCTTCACAGGCAGACTTGGACGTCTTGAAGAAATAAGAACTTCTGCTACATGCAAACAATAGTTGAGTTCACGAAACGATAAGAAAAAAAAGGTTCGACTATTTTTTGAACGCTTTTTAATATAAGTTTTTCATTGAGTATCACTAGACACCTTTTACCATAAAGAAAACAAATACGAAAGTTGACGTATTGTATACGTGCGAGTTCTTTTCAGAAATTATAATTTGCCATGAGTCTATGACATTGGATTCATTTAATTAAATAAACGATGAGAAACTTTGTTCAAATAAATGAGAAGATCTTTGAACAACTTTGATTAGGAAGCTAGCCTGATTTTGATTTATTAATCAACATTTCTTTAAAGTTCTATATACATTTAAATAATCATTGAGCAAGTCTTAAAAAGGAAAATTTCTCTTAGAATAGGTTAATCAGAATTTATAAATACCATATATTACAATCTCTGCAATGAAGTCTTATTTCATCGTTTGAATTTTGGAAAAATTTATCGATGATATTCATTCTGAAATCATGTCTTAGCAAAAAAATAGTATCTCCTATTTCTCTATTATTCCGAGTTATATTGTTCTATAATCGATTGGACTGAAAGTCAATTCACGAAAAAAACAAAAAAAAGAGAACGTGAATATTATTCAACTGATGGAGTTCAAAAATATGATTAATAGTAATATGCTCTAAAGACAAAACAAATCTCAAAAGAAAAAAAGATAATATCTGTTGAAGAATTTTAGTTTTTAGTCGCACTGTTAAAAGTTAATGCTAAAAGAAATGTAATAACATGAAAATAAATTATATATTTAAGTGTTAGTAATACGAAGTCTTGAAGAACATTGTTAGTCTGATCATGTTACTAAATTTAATGAGTTTCCATAATTTGCAAGAAAAAAAAGTATTTTTTTTATAGCGAAGATGTTTCTTTTAGTCAAAGAACTTGATATTTGATATAAAGAAAAAGTCAAGTTTTTCTGATGAATGTTTAGTATCTCAATAATTTGATGTTGAACAACCACGTTCAAGATTAGATTTGGTATTTATAAAAAAAAATTGCTTGATAAGTGAAAAGTGAAATTGTAATATTTTCTTTGGTAAAGATAAAATCGAAGCTATATATATATATGGCTTGATCAAGTTGATGATGTTGAACCGAATCTTATTTTTTTTCTTGATCATTCGTCTGTATATACTTTATTTGAAATATTTATTTTTCATTTATTTACGGTTCTATATAGTATAAATATTCAAGTAAATGATATCAAATATTAGCATACAGACCATCGTTTGACTCAAATGAGATTTAAACGATGATATTCACATAATGACACAAAAAAAAGTGGAAGAGTACATCATTTTTCCTATATACTATTTGTAAACGGATGAATCACCCTTAGTAAAATTGAGAAAATTGATATCAGTTCGAATTCGATACTTTCACGTCTCGCTTCAACAAGTATTTTCTGGCTTCCGATTCGTGAGACTAAGATGTTCGAAAACTTAATTAATATGAATTTTCTTCTCCTTAGATTAAAGTACTTGTACAGATTGTATAATTTTGAAACAGAAACACATTTTATATTTACAGTCTTTGTGTTTACTGTACAATCATAAAGCAAGACATAACTAGTACTCTCTCATAGACGTCTGTAAATTAATCCAAAAAACAGATGTGTATTCGGTCGATTCAGAGTTGGAACTGAACAGGTTTTTTCTGTCCGGTCCGGTCCGGCTAGTAACCGGCCGGACGAATTTTACAGCCAAACTGGCAAAAATCCGGCGAAAATAACCGACCATAAAAGTATCTGTTCACATAAAATGTTGGCGGAGGGGAATTGAATATTCACATGCAGAAATCCGAATTAGGGGTGATCAATTTACATTTACGAAAAATTTATAAATCCAAAAATAAATTTTAAGAAATTTAAATTTAAAATAAATTTTAAAAAGTTTTATTTATTTTGAATTTTTATTGATTTAAACTGGATTTAAATAAATTTAAATAATTTTAAAAAATTTAAATTTATGTAAATCCAATTTAAAATTATAATAAATTAACAGCAAATCGCCGCCCCTAATCCGAACTGGAAACTAAAACTTGGGACTGAAACTCTCCCTTCATATTTTATAGCAAGGTGCATCGACTTTTTGAGCCCGACATCGATATAAATTAGCTATTCAGATCAAATCTGTTTTTCATCTTAATTTCAAAAAAGAAAAAAAAGCAAGTTTATAACAAATCTAACACAAAAATGTAAATATTTATTTTTCTTGACTCAGGTAGCTGCCTAAGTAGAACAAGAGAATAAATTATCTGATCATGGTTAAATTGAGCGATACACGAGAAAGAAATCGATAGAGATATAAAGAGAACAATCAATCGTTTATCGTCAAGTCGAAGACAAGATATCTATTGAGTCTTTCGCAAACACATTCTTCTGACTTGAAAATATCATAGAAAAACCGTTTTCAGTAGAGAAAATTCTTGGGTGCAAACAACAATTTTGTAATGATGAACTGGCAAAAAATCCGGTCCTGTACGGCCGGACCGCTTTCAACTCTGTATCGATCTAAGAAAGCGAAATCTATAAATTATGTTTATTATCCAGATTTTATTTTGAATGAAGGAAACGTCAAACTGAAAATCGATTTTAATTTGTAATCATAACAGAGATCTCAACATCTCGAATTAGGTTTCCACAAGCATCGGACGATGTATCGTTCTTAAGGGTATCATGCCACAAAAGATGGAGTTGGAGAATGAACTATGAGTAAGGAAAAAAATTTCGAATAATCATAATAAGGTACTTCGCATTACATTAATGAAATGATTGATAGAGAGTACAATAAAAAAAAGTATCCATTAATTCAGTGATTTCAGTGAAAAATGTAACCTTCTTTTCACGATTGAAATACGTTTAAAATGTAAGTTTAACAAAGTCTCAAGAGTTATTTTATGTTAATCTCACTTTTATGGGGAGAAAATGTACGTGACACTTCGTTCAATTCACATATTAAGCGTCTTTTAACGGTAAACAAGGTAAATTCTTTCTTTATTGAAATCGTTAAGTTTATATAAATTGTGCTCTAAGTTATTCGTATAAAGACAGTGTTGATAAGCATTTGTAGAGACCTCATCAATGTCTTTTCTTAAAAAGATTTTTTCATTTGTTTCAAACAACAAATGACAAAAAGAGATATTTGGTTATTGCATATTTCTCGAAATATTTAGATCAATTATTTGTACACAACAATATCTATCATTTTTATTCATCCATCGCCCTCATAGATATTATCTTCAAATACACAAGGTAAGTTGATTTATAAATCAATGATGTTTAGGCAAACTTGAAGTGAGGGCGGTGTGGGTGTGGGTGTGAGTGTGGATGGGTGAGTGGTATGTGTGTGGGTGTACAGGAAAGGAACAAACCAACAACAACA